CGCTGCCCCATCCCTGGCACCATCCCAGGGGAGGTTGGCCGGGGCTCTGAGCACCCTGCTCTAGCTGCAGATGTCCCTGTCCCTGCAGGGGGGCTGGACTGGGTGACCTTGGAAGGTCCTTTATCATCCATGCTGAGGTGCTATGAAAACAACAGAAGATTCCTAGCACGATTCTCCCAGATGCAGAATGCTGCAGTTCCCATCAATAAAGAAGACTGCACGTGCTGCCCATATTCCACTGGGCTTCTCCAGCCCCCTCTTTTAGTCCTGGTAAGCATCATTAAACCCTCAGCTCTCAGCACTTTGGAAGCTTGGCATGGCCAACGATGGAAGCCAACTGATTTGGTCTGACAAAACAGGCTAAAACATCTGACAAGGGATAATTCTGGAGGGACCATTCTGCTTTAATCAGCCCTGGACAAGAGCAGTTATTGTGGTGCAGAGCTTGTTATTACAGGGCACTGCACAAGCAGAGGTCATGCTGGTGGCACCACGTTCTCCAGGCGGGAGCACGTTCCGAGGCGCTGACCCGTGGTGCTCGGTGGCTGAGGGTGAACAGCTCCCAACCCCAGGGGCTGCCAGGAGGGCTGCAGGGAACTCCCAGGAGGGGACAAAGACAAGCTTGTTGTGTTTGCCTTCAGCTTGGGTCAGTGAACTTTGTGCACGGATGTTTGACTGCCAGGAGTTGTCCCGTGTCCTCGGACACAGACAGGCCAGCAGGAGTCTGGGACCTGACCACACTTTCAGATGCTACAAAGGTCCAGTTCAAACAACCTGCCCACCAGAGTGATGGTCCCTGCACCTGGGGACTTGTCTTCATGCTGGCTGAGCACTGGGCTGGTCGTTGCTTGCTGAGGAAGCCCAAGATGTGCAGGACTTCATGGAACCATAGTCCAGGTTCAGCTTGGAAGGGACCCTGGAGATCATCTCATCCAAGCTCCCTGCCCTGGGCAGGGACACCTCCCCAACAGACCAGGTTGCTGAAGGCCTCATCCAGCCTGGCCTTGAACACCTCCAGGGAGGGGCAGCCACAGCTCTCTGGGCAACCTAGTCCAGGGTCTGGCCACCCTCGGGCTGAAGAACTTCTGCCTAAGATCCAGCCTTAAACAACTCCTGCACACTCATCCCATAATATGCCATTAAAGAGCCAAAAGTGTGTTTTGTAAGACAGGGGCTGCTACTGAACTGAGGACTAACAAGGTCCCTGTGCCTGCTTTGAAGAAGGGGATGGAAGTTCCTTCATCCTCCCACAGCACACTCAGAGAGCCCCAAGCCCCCTGCAAGCAGGGATGGTGCTTCCAGACTCCTGGAATGCTATGGTAGGTATCCTCTTGGGAGTTTTGCAATGGGGAGGAAAAAGCAAACTGAGTCAAAGCAGCAGGTTATCTTCATAGCCAGGCTGAAATCTCCCACCTCCCAGTGCCCTTCTCCACTCACAGAACCACCAGGAACAGCTCAAGCAGCTGGACAGCACTCCTAGAAATACTCCTGGCAAGCAACAAACCCCTCAAACTGCTCCAGCCACAACCCAGGACTACAGCTGAATGATGTGCAACATCCACAGACAAACCATGAGGAAATGGTAAAATTTCTACCTGGCTTATGCTTGATGTTTGCTTTGGAGCCACACTTGGAGGACACTTTAGAAAGGTCAACTTTCTTGTTCTGGATCTGCACCTAAAGAGACAAAAGGAAACAACTCAACACAGAGAAACGTTTCCTGTGGGTCTGGTGGCCAACAGGCTGCTCAGACATCAGGTGGCCCTCAGGAGCCTGCCCCCTTTTCCACCACATTGCACCCTCAGGCTGGTTTCCCAGCTGGGGGCAGTTTGAAGGCCCTCACCAGCCTGGATTGGCCAACTGAGCAGACAGAAACTGAGCAGATAACACCAGCAGGTGGCCAGCAACCAGAAACGGGCCTCAGGAGGTGACAGCACACCATGGAACACAGAAGCACTTGGGAGGGGTCTGGGGAAAAGCCAGTCCCACTGCCACACTCCCCAGATGGTTTCTGCCCACTGCCTGGCCAGCTGCAGACACCAGGGCAGATGTCATCTCATGGTCCTGCTCAGCCACTCGCTTGCTGCAGGGCCAGACACATGCCACCAGCTCCCAGTTTTTCTCTCTGCCCTCTTCAACGTGCAGACTGACCCACGTTTGTGTCAGGCTTTGTTTGCAGCCTGCTCCCCATAGTCCTTGCTGCCTGCTGGGAACAGGACACCAGGAAGGCCCATGGTGCCCAGACAGAACACACTGCTGGAAGAAGCTCTCCAAGACAAACCTGTTCCCCAGTGTTATTGCCTTTAACCTCATTCCACCAGTGGCCTGATACTCACATACAAAACCTTCACTGAAAAGCTGTTCAGTGGTGCAGCCATGAAATCTGTGAGGCCAGCAGGAGAGAGCTGGGGCTACCCAGCCTGGAGAGGAGCAGGCTCTGGGGAGACCTTCTGGTGGCCTGCCAGGACTTTAAGGGGCCTGTCAGAAAGCTGGGCACAATGTTCTTAGCAGGGTCTGTTGGGACAGGATGAAGGGGGGTGGTTTTAATCTCAAAGAGGGATACTACGACTAGGGAGAAGGAAGAGATTTTGGATGCTGAGGGTGTTGAGCCCCTGTCCCAGGCTGCCCAGAGAGGTGGTCGCTGCCCCATCCCTGGCACCATCCCAGGGGAGGTTGGGGGGGCTCTGAGCACCCTGCTCTAGCTGCAGATGTCCCTGTCCCTGCAGGGTTTGGGTGAGATGACTTTGAAAGGTCCCTTCCACCCAAACCAGTCTGGGATTCTGATTCTAATTCCTAAGATATTCATGACTCAGTAAATGAGCTTCTTCCAAGCCAATGAGCTGAATGTTCTAGCATGGTGTTTGTGGCCATCACACTGAATTTGGGGAGAAGTGTCTTCTCTGGGGTAGGACAAAGGTGGAGTCACAGTGTCACAGGTTTTATGTATTTTTTCTCAAAGTGTTTCATCTCCAGCACCTGTACCAGGTGCCCTGTGCAGAGCCCCATTTCTGACATCTCCACAACTCCTCCTGCACCTCCAGGTGGATGAAAAATTTTTCTACTCCAGAATGAACTTCTGGTCTAACTGCTGGGAGAGCTCTCATTTCATACAAACACAGGACAACTCACATCAGAAAGGACTTTGCTCATCTTGTCTGACCCCCTGCTAAGTTGATGTTCCAAGTTTCCATGGGAAAGATCCAAGTTTTCTTGGTGGTACTGTTAAGAGATCACCTCTCCCAGTCATGCCAGAACCACCACCTGACACCTATGTCACAAGAAGTTCTGCTACAAATTCTTCTGCAGAGAAAATGCAAATCTTTCTGTTGGAACATAACAGAACTCATTCACTATCAGCTACCCTCAAAGCTGAGTGGGAATCACCATGACAAGCTGCAGTACATCTCTCTCAGGAAGCATGAATCCTCCCAGTGCTGGTGCAGGGGGATGAGTCAAGGCCCTGATGTCCTGTGAGACCAGTGAGGAGCAGAGCTCAGCCTCCTGCTGAGCTGTTCCACACTCAGACCCTGACCCAGTGACAGCAGACACCCTGGAAGGGTGAGATCATGGCCCCTGAACTTGATTTTCTTGGGGGTTGCCAGTAAAGTTACCACAGCTTTTGTCATGAGCACTCCTCTGCTTGGAAGTGGAATACAACAAAATTCATTTCACAGAATGATTTTAAAACAATCAGGTTTGTTACTAGGTGGGGTGGACATACCCACTCCCTGTGACTTCACCCGGGGACCCAGACACCTGCACCTACATGCAAGTGCATTTCTTGCAAGAGTTCTAACATTAGTTTTGAGTTAGCAACTGGAGACACGTTTAAAGGCTTGGGCTTGCATCTACAGAGCCAAATGCTCACTCTGGTGCCAGAACTAACCATTAGATCTGAGTGCCTGACACAGAGAATGTGGTGGGAAGAATGATCCTCATCTCATTTTAGATTTTCTATCATCTCTGATCATTTTCCAATCCATCTGAACAGAGCAAGCCAAAGGGCAGAAAAACATCTGTACATTCCAAACCACCTTGTTAAACCTTCAGCAACACGTGCACTACCTGCACTTCATGAAAACTTCCTCTTTGCTGCTGCTTTCTTTAAAGAGAGAGGGGGGAAAACACAAAAGCACAACAAAGGCTTTTATTCAGGAAACCTCACTGTGCTTGTGTCAAGGTATTTCTGCCCAATGTAATGTGTCTGGGAACAATATCAACTGCTTTTGAACATGTCTTCTTGGTTTTCTTGGAAGGGAGAAGAAATTATCTCCACACCTAGAAGGCAAAATGGGTTCCCAAGGAGAGCACAGCAGTGAGGAGCCACTTCACTCAGGGGGGATCTCCATCACATCTACCAGACAGAACCTAAAGCTCAAGCATAATTTGCTACTACCCACAGGTCTCATCCATAGGATTCCTAAAACCTTTAACAGAAGCCACAGACCAGGATCATGGACTTGCCAGACATCCCCACCAGCAGCAGGGTTCAGGAATGAAACATTGGGAAGTCTTCTATTAGAAGTGATCACTGTAACTATTTGAACAAGAAAACACCTTGGAAGAGGACACTGATGTTACAGTGCCCCAAAGGGAGTGAGCAGATATAAAAATGAATAAAAGGAAACGTTTTGGTAGGAGGCCAGATGGGCCCCTGTGAACTGTCTGCTCCCCCTGGTGCTGCCTGTGCAGGGCTGGGGTCCTTGGGGAGCTGGAACGACTGCCTGAAGCTGTTTGGAACCTGGAAATAATGAGCACTTTATTCCCTGTTCTCAAAGCAAAAAGCTTAAGGAGTTGAGCAAGGAGGGAAACTAAAGGAGAGCATGGAAGAAGAGACACAGAGAGTGGGGACACTCTTGTCCCTGGAGTTGGGAATGTCCCCAGGGCAGCACAGTAAAAAGGAAAAGACAGGTTTGGTGACTCGTCAGAGGAGAGAACAGCTCATTAATGCAATTAATGGAGCAAGAAAAACAGCCCCTACCTCTACATCACATTTTGGTGACCTCAAAAGAAAAGGTAAAGCAGGTGTGAGACTGGATGTGTGCTCCAAAGCCCCACGAGGTTACAGGGGCTCCTGGAGAGCACCGAGGGCTATGTCACAGCAGCTGCTGTCACAGCCCAGCCCAGGGACTTCTGCCTCCCAGTGCTGGTGAGGCACCAACATCTGTCCCAAACCTGGGGGACAAAACCACAGGAAAGGTACAGTAGGAGCGAAGATGTGCACAGCCAGAAAAAAAATTGTTATGAGGGCATCTAATGGACATGACAGTCCCCAAATCAGCTTCAGTTTCTACAGCACAGAGGGCTGTCCCCTGGCCAAGCTCAGTTACAGGAGCCCTGCACGTGTGGCTTCAACATCTGCCTCTAACCATTTTGGCAACCGACCTGTAGGGAACGAGTTTAGGAACCCAGATTTGGTTCCTCTTGCAAAGATTTCAAGAAGAATTGGTCACATAGAGTAAAAGTTGAGCCAGCCAGCCCAACACACAGACATTTCCCAGGAAAAGTGGCCACGGCAGCCTGCCCCAGCCAGGTCCTGCCTGGCAGCACAGCCAGGGCCTGCAGAGGGTTTGCACCCACAGAACCAGGCGTGGAGGGAGCACAGGGGTGAAGAGCAGCCGTAGGTCTGGCCCCAGCAAGGAGCCTCTGCAGGGAGCTGCACTGCTGCTGGCTCTCAGGGCACAGAGCAGGCACCACGGGGTGGGATGGTGAGGACACTCCTCCTCAGGAACCCACGTGTTTAAGCACCACTGGGAAAAACCTCCTTGGGCTTAAGTCCTTCAGTGGCTCTTTGAAGCCAGGCACCCTCTGTACCTCTGCAAACCCCCCCAGTGCAAACAGCCTCGTGCAGGTTTGTTCAGGTGGGCCAGGGGAAACAAGCCTGCCAGCCTACACTCATGTCCTCAGCAGCTTCACTATCTAGATAGTTAACCTGGGTTTTTTTTGCCAGACATGTCCAGGTTATAATACTCCAAACCAAGTACACCAACATCACAGCACTAACCTTCTGTTCTAATAAGCTCAGCTCTGCTGCCAGAGATACCAGTAGCCTTTACATTTAGAAATTAATCACAGCTCAAAGATGAGTCCCAGAGTCTTTTTCTCCTCCTCATTTTTTGAAGTTTCCCTTCTTGTTTCCCCAGAAGTGGAATGACTCTGACCCAGGCTCACTCCATCAGCCAGTGCAGAGTAACAGGCACAGCTCACTTTGAGCCATCAGACACCTAAACTAGGTCAGAGGACCACTGAGGTGCCCCCGTGGCTGCAGAGGGAGTCCACAGTGAGGCAGCTCCTGGGCTCTGCCACGTGCACGTCCTGCACTGGGCCATGAAAACCACGGGAACCATGTGAGGAACAGGGCAGGTGCCTCTGTAGCACCACAAACCAAACCACACACATTCCACCTGACACCCCACGGGCAGAAAAAGGACAAATCCTCCAGCCTGTGTTACTTCCAGAAGCCCTGAAACCCTGCCACACTTTTCTGCCTGAAATGCAGCATCCTTAAGACTGACATATAAAAAACACAGTATGAGAGAAGGAGTTAGTAGAAAGACAGCTTGCCCAGAGCCCATACTTACATTCCCACCTCCAGGGACATGCTTAATATTGTCCTTGGAACCACACTTGGACTGAACATGGCTGTAGTTCGCTTTTTTGGAGACTATCTGGACCTGGAATGTTACAGAATGGAAAACAACACAAGGGAGGACTGGTTAGAGTTGTCATATGGCAGGCTGGAGTGGATGCTCTAACACGGTGGATAAACAAGGAGTTGTGTTAAACTCAATCCAGCTTTAGGAGTAGGTGTGAAAGCAACTGAGGAGGAGAGTGAGAAAAAAAAGTGAACGAAACAAGAGGCTGCACAGACAGTGTTAGTGCAAGAGCACAAGCACTACCAGAGGACTTCTCCAAATGCACCACAGGGTGGGTGCCTGCCTGCCACAAGGGCTGGGCTCCTCTGTCTCCCCGTGAGGCTTCCCAGGAGATGCCCCAGAGCAGGGAGAGCCAGCTCAGCTCTCCTTCCTCTACAGGTCAGAGCCATGGGGCCACCTCCTCCAACAGCACTGTGAACTGCTCTGTGTCTGCACCTCACTCCCACCAGCCTGGACTGGTTCAGTCCCTCAAAACCCCTGGGCAGTAAAGCCTGGCCTGAGAAGCAATTCTTCTGATGAAGGTTGTCAAGCTTCAGGTAAATTTAATGACAAGTCTTACATTAATTAGAATCATAGAATTGTTTAGGTTGGAAGAGACCTTTAAGATTATGGAATCCAACCATTCCCCAGCACTGCCAGGTCCCCACTGCCCCGTGTCCCTCACCCCACATCTCCACAGCTTGGGAACCCCTCCAGGGGTGGGGACTCCACCACTGCCCTGGGCAGCCTGCTGACTAAATTGTTCCTCCTTAATCCTTCCGATTAAACTGCTTCTCCTTTGAAATAAACTGACTTGGACTTTCTCAAAGCACAGAGGGGTGTGCTGAGTGAGTTTGTACTCCCCAAGGCAGTAACTGAGTGGAGCAACAGTCCCCAGGCTTACAAAGGTTAGTCACGACATGTATTTAGTCTGGGAGTTACTCAGCAGAGCACAAAACGTGGCAGAAGCTGCATCCTGCTTTCTAGAAGGAGGTGATAAATCTGGAGCACAAAAGGAATCACCAGAACATTCTCACTTGAGCAGGTTCCCAAAAGCTCCTGAGCCAGTTCAGAAAGACTGGATTCAGTGCACCAGCAGCCCTGGAAACGTCCCCGTGCCACGTGCAGTGGTTTGTGACTCCTCTAGAGGTACAAATCCCATCAACAACTCCCTGGTCATATCTGAATTCAGGCAGAGCTGCACTCCTGCCTCTCTCCCTATCCACCTGTGCTGAAGCAGCAGATTTGGAGTAACCCATCATGTGGTGACCACCTACTGCCTGGACCTGAGGGCCTGGGTGCAGCTGGGTCTGGAATACTGCAGGGAGGACATGAAGTCCTTCATATGCTGCAGCTGCAACAAGCAGCACTGAACTAAAGCTCTCTACAAACTAGTGCTGGGGGTGAAGAACTGGTCTTGAGGGAAACCTCCAACTCCAAGTCACCCACCCCAAAGTGAAGAGGGAGGACTCTGCTCTGAGAACACTGACAGCAGGCATGGGAAAGGTACCTATGGCAGTTGTCTCTGACTGTGTTTGACTGAGAAGGTCTCGGGGTTTACAAGAAGGAATTGGAAGAGTGTCTGTGCAAGGAAGAGTGACACTGACAGGAGAAAGCAGAAGAGTTGAAGAGAAGGGAAAGTGATTCAAAATGGAAATGTTTTCCTTCATCTCCCACCCAGAAAAGTCTGAAATAAACTCACTTTCCCATTGGGCTGTTTTGGGGCACCCTCTTTTGATACGGTTGTTTTAGTAGTAGCCATTTTAGAGACTGCATTGGGTTCAGACTTTCGGGCAGCAGCAGCTGATTCTGGCTTTTTCTCTATTTTCCCCTAGATGGAGACAAATGGATGATTTCAACCAGCAAAAGCACACGTGTGGGCAGGAGAGAGGGGAGCACGAGCTGCGCAGACAAACCCGCTGGAGCGGACAACCCAGGAGAACTTCTGAGATGCTGTAATCCCCAGGCAAAATACAATCCCATGCCCAGGAAGGATCAAACTAAGGGGGTGGAGGGGAAGCAACATCAGACGTGGGATGAAACAGGCACCGTGGGGTCATCAAGCAACAATTTAATTTCTCCATGTCTCAAAAAACTCGTAGGTGCCCTCCCTTGCTACCTCACCATGTCTCCAGCAGTCACATTGGCAGGTCTCCAAGTGACCCTGGTTCATCATATTCTGCCAAAAATCCAACCCCAATCTTTGAGTAACCCGACAGCAGTGCAGGACCAGCTCCTTCCTGTGGAGGACGTTTTGCAGAGCTTGGAGGCAAACACATCCACAGGCTGATTGTCACTGAGCTCCAAGAGCCCTGCTGGATGCAGACACACTGTCCTTCCCTTGCTGATGTCTCACCCACACACTGATTTGACTCAGGCTTTGATGATTTTTCAGAGGGTTTTTAACTAACCAAATGCAGGTGGACCTGCCTAATCCAACTAAGCAGAAAATGGAATGAAAATCTACAGGTTTTTGAAAAATTCAGCAGCCACCTGAGAATATCCATTTTTCTGCTAATCTAGATCCAGGTAAGTGCAGCAGAGTCTGCATTTTTTGGGTGGCTGAGGATAAATCCTGTATTTCACTAATCTACCAGCAACAGAACAGTAAATAATAAAACCCCAGCACTCCTCCAGCATTCTCAGATTCTAAAAACACCTCAGCATCAGCAAGACTATGAGAAGGGCAATTTTCTTAACAATACAGTTGTTAGGATTTAATGGTTTTATGAAAACACTTAGAAAATAAAGGACAGTACAATTAAATGTAAAAACCAGTTCCCTTAAACTGCCACAATGAGCCTGTAAGGTAGGAAGCTCTGCAACCCTCAGAACCCCAGCACAGTTTTCAGTACCAGAACAACCTCACGTGTTCTCTGTTGTTCTGAGCTTGTGTTTGGTGTCAAGCTGCAATACACAGCCCATGAAAGGGTCACCCTCCTGCTCGCCTCCAAGGTTTTCAGCAGACTTGGTTTGTCCTTTACAGAAACTCTTGTTCTGGGGAGTGGAAGCTTCTGCCCCCTAGACCTTGAAGCTCTGAGGACTCTCCTGGGATATTGCACAACAAAGATACTCGTAACCCCGACGAATAAACCCATGGAGTATCAGTGCTGGCTGTGACACACAACACCCCAGCCCAAGCACGCCCTTGACTTTACTGTGCCTGAGAGGAGCTGAAGGCTCCCAGCATGAAATGTGCTCTCTTGGCATCAGATTAAAGTTCTCTGCCAAGCTAGTCCTCACTGCAGACCTTCAGCAAAGACAAGCGTGCAAATCTGTTCTGCCTGGTGGAAATTAAAGCCCTGTGACTCCAGGCAAGCTGCTAACACATTTGATGGGGCAAAGGTGGCTGTGTCTGTTCTACCAGCTCCAAGAAAGGTTTTATGATTATGCGTATCCACAGAATTACTTAAACCCTCCGAAGAGGACTACAGGTAGAGCCCTAAAGCTTCATCATTTACACAGCAGATACTCACAGGGAAATGTCATTTAAGCCCATTATTGATGGAGAGCCTGAAGTTACAGCTATGTAAATGCTTTTCTCTGCAGCTCATTCAACATCACCATCTCCTTTTCTTGTGGCCACCACAGGCTACCCAGAGAGCAGCACGTGTAGACCCAATTCCTTTCAGCTTTAGGCCTGACAGGTTGAACAGAGTCCCCATTCCTAGACCTGGGAAAGGTGCTGTGGGACTTGCTCCTGAATCCAGATCTCCTGCATCGTTGTGCACTATTCCACCTTCTGTAGCACTCAGCAGACTCAATTCCACTATTCAAAGGCAAAGTTTTGGAACACAGACAAGATTTTGAGCTTTCAATATCAGTTAGTTTCTGTGTCAGGGTGTGCAACAGAAAAACAGAACCACAGGGTTTTGGATTCCTGTACACAGGCCAGGAAACACCGTGAGGGCTCTTAGGGTGGATTCCTTCTGTACACTGCCCTCATGGCCTTGTTAATGCCTTGTGCATGAACCAAGAACCCAAAGAGGAGCTCTGCGGAGCATAAACGAGAAGAGCAGTGAGGATACAGCCACCAAAATTAGCAAAGAGCACCCCTAATGCTTCAGAGCTACTGTTCCAAAGCGTATATTGTTAGCCAGGAACTTACCTTCCCTCCACCAGGCTGATGCTTGATGTTATCTGTTGATCCAATTTTGGAACGCACGTTTTTCAGATCTGGAGCCGAGCCGCTGCTGGGCGGGCGAGGGGGCTTGGAGACAGTGCTGGGCTTAGCTGGAGCTTTAGCAGCTGTCTTCTTAGCATCTGCTGTTGAGGTTGAGGTTGTGGTGGGTTTGGTGGCAGCAGGCTTGGGTTTGGGACGACTGGTGGTCCCTGCAGGCAGGGGAGAAGCGCTGGAGGTGGTGGAAGGGGTGGTGGCACTGCTCCTCACCGCGCTGCCCGCGGCGCTCCTCGGGCGGCTCGGCTCTGCTGCAACCAGCACAGCGACAGGCAGAGGGAAGGGGGAAAAAGAGGGGTCAGAGGCCACTTCTACCAACCTCCCCCAAGTCCTAAGGATGGACACTGACCCCTCTAACAAACACAGCCCGAAAAAGGAGGGTTTGATTCTGATGGAAGCTGAGGAAAGTTACCTGATGGTGACTTTGCAGGGGTCTTCTTGGCCTCCGCAGGCTTTGCGTCAGTCTTGATAGCTGCCCAACACAAAACACTCTGATTAGGAGCCTGGGAGCCCAGCACAGCCTCCCCTGGAGCTCAGGGGCTCTCTGCAGCTCCCACATGGCCCTCTCCAACCACTGTCCCCATTCCTAACGTGCTGCTTGAAAGGAAGACCTCAGGAGCAACCTGCTCTGTGTGAACGTCTGGCTGAGGTCCTCCTCCTGCCAGCCAAGCCCACTCTTGTTTTCCAGCAGAAGGATCAATTCACCATTCGATGCTGCAACACATCTGGGGCATGGTTTGCATCTTGTTTTTTTGATTAAAATAACTTGCTGAACCTGACAGCACTCACTAAAATTATTTCAATCCTGTCCCAGTTTAATTTCTTAAAAAAACAGCAACCAAACCAAATCCTACCCCCCAAACTCCTTTCTTTACTAAATAGCAAAGGCAACTCCACATTTGTCCCATCTGTAACCTTGGTCTAGCTGCTACATCAGTTCTAACCCCTGCCAATTTTCTTGCTCAGACATTATTGCACATATTTTGGTGCCCGTTATGATTGTATAAAACCCAAAAATCAATCCCTAAACTGAGCAGTGCCTTTGGGCAAACACCAATGATCATGACCTGATTCCACTCCCCACAGAGGACAGACTAAACCAGGAGCACATCTCTATTTATTCTGCTGTTTCTGAAAGGGGAATAAATCCACACAAAAAGGTTATCAAGGAAAAACCACAGCGTGAAAAATATAAACAGAACCTTATTGTAAAGAGCTCTGATAATGAAATTCCAGCTTTTAGACCATCAATGAGGGACAACTGGGTCTAAAATCTGCTTCATTTCAATAGCCAAAGGAAGGCAACATTAAAACCAAACACCAACGGGAAGAAACTGAAGGTAGAAATGATGAAAAATTCCACCTTCTAATATTTAATTTCAATTAACAGACTCAGATTTTTGGATAACTCGAGTAGCTGGCAGGGCACTTTATGGAATACCGATAGGGAAACGAGCA